AAGGGTGAGTTTTAACTGAGATACATGAAAAACACTTTGAATGCACATCTTGCATGACAGATTCAGCTGCACAGAGTCAGGGTTGATCAGAGCCTCTATTTTAAAAGGTCTAATAAGGTTAGGTGAGAGTTTGCATGATTCAGTGTGTAAGGGAACATACTTGATAGAGAGCCATACTTTGTGATCAGGTTAATAACGGGGTTCAGGAGTCCAACGATGGTCTGCACATTGTTTATTTCGCTCCTCGGTCTGAGCAGCCCGTGTCACCCTTAGAGTTGCTGACACCAGCTGAGATGGTGCTGAACTGACGAGACAGAGCACTTACTTTCAATAGAAGAAAACAGGGGTGGCTAAGAGCCCCAGGATGATTTGAAGCATGAGTGTCCAGTGGGTGATGAAGTCAAAGAGTTGTGAGAATACTCTGTCCACACTAGCTGAGAGATGCAGGTCTGATAAGACTTGTTGCTGCAAGAAAGCCATTACTAAGACATCAGAATAAGACACAGAGGCTTGCCTGGGCGATGAAACACCGCCATGGACTGGAAGATGTTATTATGGACTGATGGAGCAAAATGTAAAACATGGAGGAGGAAGTGTGATGGTCTGGGCCTGTTTTGCTGGATCCAGGGTCGGTGACTTGTACAGAGTGATAGGCACCCTGAACCAGCTCCATGCAATACCTCTGGCATGTACCAAGCTGGTCAAGGGTTCATCCTACAGGAAGGTAATAACCCAGAACATAAGTCCAAGCTATGCCAGAACTACTTCAGGAAAAAAGAACAAGGTAAGCTTGAAAACAAAGAGTGGCCAGCACAGTCTCCAGACTTAAACCTCATCAAACTATGTTAACATTTTGTTTTTGTGGCCCGCAGTAAAAGTGTTTGCTGCCTGGCTGTGGTGCTCCTTGTTCGTTTGGGTCTCCTGAGTGACCAGAGACCAGAGAGACACTCTGAGCCAGAGAGACTGAAGTCCATGGCACCACGGAAAAAAGTGAAATTGTAACAGGTTGATATAAAATTGTGAAAACTTGGCATCTTTGTCTTCCTTCTCATTATTAACCTAGCAAGGGCGAGTGGGGGATTTCTTTTTTTATTAGAGATTATGTATCGGAATTTCAGGAGCGGGACCACGTCTCCAAACACGCTCCCTCCAGTTGTCATCTATATAGGTTCCCCCAGTTCTGTAAGCTGTTCATTCTCGTTTACGTGCCCCACCCTCCCTCCCTCCTTGTTCTCAGTTCTTTAACTTCTTCATTTCTATTTAGTACATGGGGATCTGCCAGGCCCGGGAGCCGTCGCAGGTGGACGCGATGGAGGAGGCACACTTGCACACAGGAATTTTTTTCATCCCACATACAATTTGTTTACAAAATACCGATACTAGTTTAGGTCTGGTTGAAACACAAACCACTGGGTCAAAGAGCCAGAATCATCACACTTATGCTTCAGCCAGCTACACAAAGGGTTTGCTTTCTTGCCTCTTTTATTAGTTTTTTTTCTGCTTTGCTATATCAGTGTTAGTCCCTATGAGACCATTGATTCTTGCAGCATTAAGTGTTGTGATTTTTTGATTCAAGTGAAGTGCTTTTTGAACTTTTTGAAAGCAACTGACTCACATAGTTATGTTGATATCCCAGTCTCAATAAACATATTCCGCAATGCTTCCGCTTGTTTGTGATGCTCCTACGAACTGACCAGTAGCCATCAGGTTGCTGTTAGAAGCACTGCATTAAAGAAGAAATAAAATAAAATGTAAAAAAAAAAAAGAAAAGAGAAAAGCACTGTGTGTTTTGTTTTTTGTTTTGTTTTCTACAAACAAAAAACAGTCATATTCAAAGTAATCTCAAATTAGACTCTTGCACTTTCTCCCAATGTTTCCTGACATGATGATGCACTTGCCATCTGCTGGCATAATGCAACACAACAAGAAAAAAAAATAGAAACTAGACTTCACATTAACCGTGGACTATTGTTTGACGCACACAAAAACAAAGAACTAAAAAAAAAACTAAGCACGTTTTCTCGATTATTTTAGTTGATTTTAATTCGTTTCGGGAACGCTCAATACAGTTTCAGTTAGTTTTCCTTTTTTCACAAACCCTTGTTTGTATTTATTTGAGTTAACAAAAATGTTTATTTAGTTCTAGTTATTTTGTTGTTTTTCATTAATGATAATAACCTTACTAGTCAAAACTTGAATCCTACAGTGCCACCTTGCCAGGTTGAAGACAGGTTAAAGCTTAAGCCCCCTCCCCAGAACAAACCATACATGCATCAATCATCTAACCTTAATCGATATTTCTATTATCATGACAAAGATATTCTATTTACTACTTCTAATGATTTTATTCAAATATAGAAGTTAGTTCACAATGATAAAAATACCAAACAAAAGACTGTCAAACTCTCCTTTGTTTTTTAAGTACTTGGTAAGCTTTCAGTTCCACCCTAATATAGAAAGACTTGGAATTTGCCACTTCATGTTTGACGCTCTGTACCTCCAATATAGTGGCAACCTGGAGCAGAACAGCCTCCCAACATTCCAGCCAGATGAAGGCTAATGAAGCGTTGAAGCTTTCCATCCAATTGGTTTGGGAAAAATGTTCATTTCTCAATGCATATGTGAGAAATTAACATTTGTTTTTTGTGGTCTATTCATCGAATTTATTTATTAATGTGTAATTACTAAAAAATTCGTACTTTTGTCACGTCCTGCAAGGCAGATTGTGTAGAGAAGAGAGTGTGGACCCAAGAGCAGACACTGAAGACTGACTTACTGAGAGAGAGCTTTATTTACAGTAGGAGGCAACATACAAACAAGAGAAGAGAATGGCCATAACTTAAACTAAGAAAAACCTAAACTAGGAATGCTAACAAAAAGATGCAACCAGAGACAAAGATCTAGGAAAAACCTGAAACCCGGAGGGAACAACAGCAGGACGAACGCAGATGAAACACATCAACTCCGAAAGTTGGTGGATGATATCACTCTCATTGGTTTGATCCAGAATGATGACAGTCCGCATACAGACAGGAGGTGGACCAGATGTTGCACTGGTGCAAGCAGAACTACATAGAGCTGAACCAGTTCAAGACTGTGGAGATGAAGGTGGACGTTTGGATGACCAAATGATTCCTGCAGCTAGTGAGTCAGTGATGTAGCTCTCTATTGCCTCTCTCTCAGGCTTTAGAAAGTCTATACAGCCGACTGGTGGGCAATAGAGCACCAGGAAATAAGTTAATACTGCAGTCATTGGGACGGTGAGGCAGAGGAGAAAGATTCAGTAATGGAAATACTGGGCATAGTGGACTGCAGACAGGTTTTGTAACACCAGGTACTGCAACCAGAAACGCAATTCTTAGCCCAATCGATTTGCAGATTATGATGGCTAAGCCAGGGACAGCCGAGAACCAATGGAGTACCAGGGGCATGGAACAAAAACAGGTTGACCTCCTCTGCATGATTGAAGGACACAGGCTCGGAGCAAGAGTCTCAGAGCCTTTGATCAGCACAGCGCACGAGTGAGTGTGGGTCATATACAGTAATTTTTCTTGGCAGGTAAGACCAGGCAGGGAAACATCTTGAGTGGTGAACCCTAGTATCCCCACAGTTACTGACAGGCAGACTCTTTTGGCTGCGACGGGCAAGTATCAATTTAGTGTCCTCTTTTCCCACAACAGAAACACTCACCCGCCAGCAGTCTTCTCCCCCGGTTGGAATGGGATAGCGTAGCTGGTCCGAGCTGCATCGCCTGCTCCTCCCCGTCAGTTTTGAGTACCACCTGAGCCCATTTTAGCGCTTGTCCCATCAGCAGCTCCACCATGAATGAAACCTTGGCACTGTCTGAGGAAAAGATGCGATTCTGCTGCCTAAAAACAAGCGCACGTTGGGTGAGAAATCCCCCACTTTTCTCCAACTCTACCGAAAACTTATCTGGTGTCTGCAGTTGCTGCTACCACGGAACAGGGGGAGGAGAGGGAGGAAGAGGACAGGAGGCAGCAACATGTAGCGTTGATGGTGGAGGTGAAAAAATTCCAACATTGGAGCACTGGGTCTGAAACACACCTTAAAACTCTAAACATTTTCTCATGGAGATGCAGTTGGTCTGCTTGCAACAATAAAACACCTTGAGCTGTGTTATTGCTGTGGACTGTCCGCTAGGTCCATTCCAGGCTGGGTCGTTATATCAGGGTGCATGGCAAGAACGGGGCCCAAATGCAGGAATTTCTGATCCAAGACAATACATTTATTTACAGTGAGAATGTGAACAATAGTGAAACACTTTCAAAGAATTGGCTACAACCTTGGATAATTACAAACGCTCCACTCCCACCATGACACACTCCTCTCTAGGTTCCTAACAACACAAGATGTACTGTAGAGGTTAGTTTAGTGTACTCAGTCACAACACGTAAAGATAATTTCCACTCAACAATCCAGCATCAACAGAAGGTCGGCCACACAATTAAATAGTTGCCACTAACGAGGGTACTCAGTGGCAGCTGGTGAGTGTTGATGGAAGACGGGTGTGGCTGGCTTCAGCGTGGGAAATACCTTTTGGCCTGATGATGCCCATAAACTGGCACGCATGAATGAACACACACACGCACACACGCACACACATAAAGGAGGAAACAGGGGCCCGGGAGGGGAGCCAACAAAAAACACAAACACAAACAAGAAAAGGAAGGGAAGTGTTATCCATCCGCCTGGTGAGGTTAGTGCAGGAGTAAATAATTTCACTATAACCGAATGGTGCGCTTTATATTTAAATAATTTCACATGTTTAAATTATCTTTAAAATTGTAAGGTATCCTGTGTTGCTATGCGTTTTTTATGTTTATGAGCTTATAAGAACAATTGGGTGTAGCTTACTTTGCACTTGGCAGGTTACACGCATGCGCTCAGTGAATGCCACACCTGCACGAAACAGCCAGGGTGTTGCCTTTGTTGAGTGCGTGTAACGCCCACTTGCCTTTTGTATCGCAGTAAAAGTTGTTGGCGTTGGCGTGATGTTTTTCTTTTCCAAGTCTTAAGTAGATGCCAGTGAAATTGATAGTCGTTTGAGAGCTTTTATCCAGACAGTAAGAAACTCTCCATGCCGCTGGGAGACTCCCCTGAGACGTTTCTTCAGTCATGATTCGGATTTGTTGGCCCGTGTTTGTGTTGCTACTTTTTGTGGTGAGTCCAGAAAGACTTTTGTGTCGATTAGAAAAGACTTTCATATGGAAAGTAGTTTTTTTTCTATGAAACAAGCTTAATTCATAATGTGATTCTTTTGTTGCTTTTATTATTTAGGTTTTTCGTCTTTTTAAAACAGAAATCAATCAAAATGTATAATAGATTAAAGACAACAAATTATAGTCAAGCATTTTTAAATCTAATCACAATTATGAATAGTAAAATTAGCATGATCGTGATTTCAGTAGGCAATATGAAGCAAAACCGGTGCTAAAAAGTGATCGTCTGCTAAAACGTGATGTCGTGTCAAGGTAGTTATCCTGGAGATAATTTGTAATAAATAAAATCAAATATGTGTTATAAATAATATCAAGCTGAACCTGCCGCAATTTCCTCCCCCTGTCCAAATCATTGACAAACCTGGTTTGAGAATCTGGTATATTGAGCGTTAGTTTAGAAAAGTCGACTTCCCGCAGACGTGATTATGCGCTTATCAGGCAAAACGTCCTCAGTTTGCTGAAATAATCCCCTCCGGCACAACGTGACAACAATAAATGTATAATTTTCTGTCGTGACCCAAACAAATGAACGGCAATGTAATGACATTCATCTTTAACTTTTTTTACTAAAGTAAAATATCAGTTGGAATTGAGGCGGAGTCGACTGGATCCGCTGTCCTTGCCCAGGGCGCGCTCCAGAAGGGGAAACAGATTGTGTCGGGGGCAGCTTCACTGGCAAGACCCCGGTGTTTGCCATAAAATGATTGCTCACATTTAAACTGTTATAAATGACTTGCTTGATCTATAATCTGTCAAAAAATAGATCAAACACATCTCTCCTAAAATATATCAAGTAATTTTGAGGTAGAGGGAGCATCCCTATCAGAAGCTCTAATCAATTTTTGGAAAGTGACTGTTACTTATCCTGTTATTTATCCCGGCAAAAAGTGCCATTGACATTAAAAATTTATTTTTCGGGAGAGAGCTGGCTAGCAGAAGTTGTAACACATAGAGCAGAACTGTGATGTGATAGGTTACCAAGGAGGACTGGATTGATTATAATATGGTTAAAATGATGCAGTCATAAAGATACTTCAAAAATGAATAGTTCTTCTATTTTATATCTAACCCAGGGGTCTCAAACTCGCGGCCCAGGGACCACTTACGACCGTGTCACCCCTACTGTATATTGCTGTGAACAAATATAATGCGATTTGACCCTTTAGGTGTTTTTTCTTTGGGAGGATTTGTTTGTTGCTGAGTGCAATGTTAAAATAAGTTCTGTAAAAAGCAAAAAGTATATATTTTATATGAAGGCAATATGAGCAGAGAGTACAAACATCTTGAAGGACCGGGTGTGTTAGTTCAGTAACAGTTATTTGTAAAGAAAACAATTCTCACTAACAGTCAAAACCTAATGTGTACTCTTATGTCTGCATTTGTATTTTGTTAAATACGAACAAAATCATAGCAGAAGTGCTGGACCGTGTCTAGGCAGAAAGAGAGTATCAGTTTGTGTATTTGGTAATTCACTGAAAGGCTTCAGTTAAGAGTGAGGGGGAAAAAAGATTTGCACTCATGTTTGCAGTTTTCTCTTGTTATACAATATTTAAAGTTTAAAAAAACAAAACACTGCATTTTTAGACATATTTGTGGGTGTATTCTTGGGGGTTTTTCATACTATTTGAACACGTAAGCAACCCTCCAATGAGAAGACTGCGCAAGCAGTGGCCTACAGCTCATTAAGTTTGAGACCCCTGAATCTAACCCATTCATAAATCCTGTTCACTAAGGTCTATTTAACAGTATAAGTAAGCATTGTAGACTACAAAACACACACAGAAAACTCTGAAATCACTTTTTTTTTCAGTCGCTTTTTGGCACAACACTGAAATACACTCTAGTTCAGCCTCTGCATTAACTAGGCCAGCTTGGACACGCCTGAGCTTTTTTTCCCCCTTTGTACTATTTTACCTTTTTACCGAACTAAAGTTGTTTGGTGTTGCTTGAATCAAGATGTAATTCGGATGGAATAGCTATTGGCATTCAGACCGCAAACTCAAAAGTAAAAAACTCTCAGGAAAAATTCTGTTGTTCATAACTGAATGTTATTATTATCTATAACTGTTGATTCTTCACTTTACATTCTGAAAAACCATTAGGTCACTATAATAAATACATTTGGTTTCATAGTTATAAAAGTGTGGGAAATAAGGTTCTGACCTCAGAGAGATTTCTTCAAGTGAATAGAGAGTTGTTTTTAAGTGCTCTGAATGAGTTATTTGATGGCAGTAAAAGTATACAACCACTCCTTACTTTTCTTCTCATTATTACCTTACATGCTTCAACTGAACCTTTCCAGTAGTGGCAAGAGGTGTGTCAGCTTTTGTGTTTACTGGGAAAGCTAGCAGCTTTATAGCCCCTGCAAGGTGTGTGTTTTTACATGCACAGTTTAATAGCATCTTGATTTATGATTAGTTCACAATGTATCCTGCAGAGTTTGTTGGCTGGCTGAGACGCCACACATGCATGCATACACACACACATATTTACATACATACATACATGTATACGTGTGTGTGTGGCGAGCATGTATGTGTGACAACTCAGCCAAAGCAAGAATTTTTGAAAGTAAAGACCTGAAACTTTCCTGCTGTGAGTGAATTATTCGCCAAGTCATATTTTACCTGCTAAAGACAAGAAGATTGATAAACAATTGCAGACTGTTGCTTTTAAGGTTTTTCAAACTGATATATAACAAAAACCTGATCTTTAAGCATCTCTCTAGGTTTTAAATTACAGACAGTAATTCCAAGAAATGCTTGACAAGGATTAAAAATGGGTGTTCTTGTTTTCTTTAAATGGCTGGTGATTTCTCCAAACATGTTTAAGCGTATGTGTTGTATTTCAGGTCCAGGCTGTTGTGACGAAAGCCAAATCTGGAGACAGTCTAATAAGAAGAAAAAGAGCCTGGCTTCCCCCACCACTGAAATTGGAGGAAAATGTGGACCACACACAAAAGACTTCTGTTGCCAGGGTGAGTCATTGATTTAGTTTTTTATTCCTTTTTATTTTGATGATCTTTTAATTTTTTATTTTAATTAAATTGATAAAAATAATTTTTATTAGGGTTAGAAAATCATGATATACAATATATTAAGGTTTTTAGCATTAACATACTAAGATATGAGGAATCTATAAGGAATCTGTGTTGTCTTTGTTGTTGTTATTGTCCTATGATTATGACATATTTGTGAATTATGCTATGCTTAGCTTTTCATCTCATTTTCAGATTCATTCAGATTTAGATGATGGTAAAGGAAATCTCAAATACTTCCTGAATGGCCGTGGCGCAAACCAAGATCCCTTCCATGTGTTTGTAGTTCACGAAAGAACTGGATTTATTCGTGTGACCCAATTACTTGACAGAGAGTTCATCAGTATGTACAATGTGAGTGAGACAAAACGGTTATTTTCCATCATGACTTCAGTGCATTCCGTATCAACAGTTCACATAAATATTTGTAACGTCTTAATTAAACCTAACGAGGTTTCCAATTTTAGCTTTCTGGTGTTGCTAGGTACAATGATGGCACTCTGGCAGAGGAAAACATCGACGTACGATTCAAGGTTACTGATCAGAATGACAATGCACCAGTGTTTGAAGATGTCTATACTGGGCGTGTGGATGAGCTTACACCGAGAGGTTAGTGCTTCGTTTTTATGAAAATTCCTCACTAATCACTATCCGGCATGTGATGACTCCATATTCCCATATGACTAATATTCAATTAATAAATGAAAACAAAGTTTTTGTTTTTGTTACATTGCTTACAGGTTGAACTTACTTAAATGTAATGTTATACTCAAACTAAACAATGTATTATGGAACAGGGTGTTTTTTTTAATGTACATCAGCTGTGAGATGGGTTGTGTTGAAGGTATTAGGCGATACTAGAACTCTTGATGTTGTCTGTGTAGATTCTCCATCATCCAGGTCGTAGTAGTCTCAACTTTTGAAGATGCCACAGAGAGGTTTTGTTTGTTTGTTTTTGTTTTTTGAAAAATTAAAATGTCATTCCTTGATATGCTTACAGGGACTTTTGTTATGAAAGTCGCGGCAACGGATGCCGATGAACCAGACAATCCCAATTCCCAGGTTTTTCATACCATCATAGACCAGACACCACCTCATGACATGTTTTACATGAACAGTGACGGGTCCATCTTCATCAAAAACAAATTAGACAGAGAGGTATGAACTAAACCCCACACCAGTTTCAGAGCTATGTAGTTAATTTTTTATTTGAATTTTGATATTTAATGATAATAAGAATCATAATCATAATATGATTATTAATAATACAATCAGATGTTAGAATAATTATTCTAGCATCTGAATTTTAAAGTCCAAGTTCAGTAAATACATAATGTTTATTAGAGTAATGAGCAGTGATGTTAATCAACTGATATTCCTATTATTTGCCAAAAATAATTATCATCTTGGTTATTAACCATTTTATTGCAGCTCAGGTAATTTGTTTTTTGTTGTTGTTGTTAAATTCCACACTCTTGAATTCTGTTTTTATACATATGCCTTACCCTAATCTCAACAAACAACTTGGTTATCTATATATTCAGTAAACTGCTTAGAACAGCATTTTTACAGAACACCTGACCGTGAGTACGGAGAAAATATGAGAAAGTTTGCAAACATTAAACCTTTTAAACAGTTAAAACATGATATGTAATATATTTTGGTGCTTAATGAAAACTCTGGATTTCAAAGTGTGTGTGTGTCTGTGTGTGTGTTATTTTTATTTTACCCTAAAAAAAAGTTCAAAAGGACAAAGTTCAAAATATAATTTATGGGCCCTTCAAAGATGTCTACTAAATATAAATTCTACTGGAAAAAACCGTATCTAACCAAACAAAGTATATCCACCTTAACTCACAAGCTACGTCCACACTAATGCATTTTCGTTTGAAAACGCATCGTTTTCTCTCCATTTTGGCCTCCCGTCCACACTGAGATGGCGTTTTCAAAACGCTCTCAAAACTCAAAACGCTCTCAGTATGTACATGCTCCAGATAGCTTTTCTTCAAATTCTTTAATTCTCACTCACTTTTGCAACTTTGTACTTTTGTGTTACTCGCAGCAACAACTCCACCTCATTGTTAGTCCATTTAAAAAAACTCTGTGCTTTTCCTCAACATTTTGCCGCGACGTTTCAAAGAGATGGAAAGTAAATAAACGGCAGACAGAAATGAGGCAGGCCGAATCTTCTTGCTTTTCACGCATGCGCAATACTGGAACATAAGCGCTTTCAGCCGTTTCAATGTGGACGCACAACTCTGTGAATACGACTGAAAACGCTAGTGTGGATGTGGAGCGTTTTCAGACAAAAATGCCATTTTTAAATCTATCCGGGCTAGTGTGGACGTAGCACAAACTGACCTAACCACAAAGACACTGCAGGGTTACCTTTATAGTGGTTTGGCCATAATATTTACATACAATAGGGGAAACAGAACAAACACCAATAACTTAAACTGACTTATACTTGTAAATGGGAAGTTTTAGAACAAAGTGACTAATGAAACTTCAATCTGATCTGTGTGGAAGCTGGGGGGAAAAATCATGAAACTTTGGTCTCTTTGTGACCAGAACAAAGAGACTTGGAGTTAGAGAAACAGTCTTTTTAGTACGAGCTCCTATGGTCCTTCTCTAATCCTGCACTGGAGAACATGAGGCAAAGGCAAATTCATGGACTATACTAGTCACCAAATTTATATCAGTGGACAGTTTTTGTTTTTTTCCCTTTGATCACTGAAAGTGTTCCTGGTTAGCTATTTTGCCTACCTACCTAATGGATAGCTAACCAGAAATATTGCTACAGTAAAGTGTGATGCAGTCTCTCTAAGAAATTAGTAACTTATTGGTCTGTGATTTCAGAAATGTGATCAGTATATCCTGACAGTAAAAGGTCAGGACCGAAATGGTAAACCAGAGGGGAACACTGGAACTGCCACTGTTACAATAGCTGTTGGTGATGTGAATGACAACCTACCAACTCTGGAAAAAGAGCAGGTAGTTTTCTTTCTTGCTCTCTTTTAAATCAACTGTGTAGTTATTTACAAATATATGCAACATATTGCTGAAATAACCCCTATGATTTTTTTTTATATTCTCCACCTATAGTATGAAGGTAGCATTGAGGAGAACACAGAAGGTGTGGAGGTGATGAGAATCAAAGCACAGGACCTGGACCTGCAAGGCACTGACAACTGGGAAGCTGTATTTGATATTGTCAAGGGCAACGAGGCTGGGTATTTTAGCATTAAAACAGATCCCAACACCAACGAGGGAATCCTAATGCTTGATAAGGTACTGCAGTTTGAAATGAAACATGTTGTTGTTGTTATTATTATTATTATTATTATTATTATTATTAATCCTAGTCTTTAATACAGCATAAAAACAATGCAAATAGAAATCTTGATATCTCAGAGCATATGCATTTTAAACACCAAATCTGGTGGAATAGTCCAGTGTCCGTTTGATCAAATTGTCCGGCAAACTGTACTGTCCAGAAAAACAAATACATGTTTTATATTGTGAAATAGTTAAATTTTTTCGGTTAGTTAAGTAGTGCATGCCCATGAGATCATCATCTCTTATCTGACTGTTTTTGGGTCTGCCTAAAATTTTGTCCATATAATTATGAATAGAATTTCTGTATATCTTTGACATTTTCTTTAACCTCATGTACTAATTGGCAGTAAGTTTGTGAATAATTAATGATTAATTGTTTTCATTTAACTCAGGAAGACCATTAATAAATGCAAACATCTGTCATTATTATGAGGAATTGTAACAGATAATCTTTGTTTCTGTCTGTCATCTGTGTAGGCTGTGGACTATGAAGATGTAAAAGACATTGAACTTGGACTATCTGTGAGGAACAAGGCTCAGCCATATGGATCTGGGACAAGTGCTGGAATAACTATTGGAGGAGGGGGGGGAGGAGCAGGGGGAGGAGGAGGAGGAGGAGGGGGAGGAGCAGGGGGAGGAGCAGGGGGTGGAGGAGGAGCAGGGGGTGCAACTGGAGCTGCTGGGATTTCTGGTGGGACACCCTTTAAAACCTATCCTATCAAAATCAATGTGAAGAACCAGCCTGAAGGGGCAAAGTTTGATCCCAAAGTTAAAGCCATTCATGTCTCAGAGGGAAGCACCTCCTTCAACATTAAAGATGTTATTGCCAGCTACCCTGCAATAGATGGAGACACTAGGAAACCCGCTCAAAATGTCAGGTCAGTGCATATACAAATAAGTGCACATTAAAGCCACTAAAACTAAACTACAGTGTCAATTTCACCTTTCATTCACCGTAATAACAATATAGCTTACTTCTGCTGTAGGTATATTAAGGGATTCGACCCTAACAACTGGCTAACTATTGACCCAGTCACAGCTGAGATCAAACTGAACAAGATGCCTGACAGGGAATCTCCACACTTGGTCAATGGGACATATTTTGCCAAGATACTCTGCGTTTCAGAAGGTATGCTGCTTTACTGTATAAATGCCGACACTTCAAAAATTATTTACGTAAGGGGAGTACCCTTGAAAAGTAGCTTTGGAATTGCAACCCCTGGGAATTTCTCACTTATTAGTCAAGCCAACTTCCTTTACTGTGAAATTAAAAAACATAAATGTAACACAACCGGTGATAGTTTTTACTAAACATAATATTGTAAACAAATTGCCTGATATTTTGTAGACAAAAAAATTATTATTTGCTGTCAGGGTATTGATGCATGATTAAAAACCTAATGCAACATAACTACAAGTGCATCACATTGCTGGCTAAATACATCTGTACGGTCTGTATAATGCCGACTTGTCATGAATAAAAACAAAATGGCTATTCAGGAGTAAGATTCATGTAAATAAACAAAATCAATATTAGTTTTACTTTTTGTCCAAACATAGTAACAGTAAAGCAAATAGTTCTTGAACTTATCTCTGACAAAATGGACATAATCAAAGGAAAAACATTAAATTCTTGCTTTTTATTTCTTTTTTTTTAAATTTACCAGACACACCTGATAAAACAGCCACTGGCACCATAGCCATCCAAGTGGAGGATTTTAATGACCACTGCCCCATCTTGACAAGTAACATGGAGACTATGTGCACAACAGTGGATGCTGTTATAGTGAACGCTAATGATGAGGATGCATTTCCCAATGGACCTCCTTTTGTGTTTGAGATCCTCCCAGAAGGCACTAAGGGAAAATGGCAAGTGGAGCATCTTAATGGTGAGTAGAAAACATCACCACAATATCATGAGTGTGGTACATTCAGAGACTGAACCACCGACTGGCCAAAGATGAGTGTGTACTTGCTCTCTTCTCTGTGTTAACTTCTTCTTGTCCAAATTTATCTGACTTTTTACAGTTAAGAAATAGACTCCAAGGAAACGATGGCTCAAATGTGATTGGTCACTTTCAAAACAGTACCACAACAAACCTATGTGACGAACTGTTTTCAAAAAAAAATTGAAATAAACAAAATGAACTTTAATCGCAGATACGGTGCTTTATTTAAGTGATTTAGCAAGGGAAAAGCAAATGGCTCAATCAGTTAATAATAATCACATAATTAAATCAATTTAAATTTTAGAAAAAAGTAAAAATCTTAAATAATCAAATCTAAATTGTTGCTGTATATCTATTGGTTTTATTGAAGTTTTAGTGGAAGAAAGAGAAGACGCTCTGGCTATAGAGGATCTTCTGCTCGCTATGACAAAACTACAAAGAAATAACGGCTAATGGTTACCTGCAAAGAGTTTTATACATCCTCTTCCCTCCACCTTTCCATCTTCACATGGCCAATATTTGCATCCAGTCACTTGATGTGACATCCAAGCATCGTCTCACCTTCTCCCTGTGACCTCTCACATAAAAGTTTTGACCACTTTCTAGCAAAAGCTACTTTATTACAGTTATCACATTAGTTCACTATATTTAACTTCAATTTGCATGATTCCTTTTTACTTCTGTATATGTATATACATATATACACAGTCCAGATCAAAAGTTTAAGACCACTTGAAAAATGGCAAAAAATCATATTTTGCATGGTTGGATCTTAACAAGGTAAAATGTAGAGCTTTCAACATGCTACAAGGAGAAATGGGAGTGAGACAAAACATTTTTTTGAGCATGCAATTTATTGAAAACAACACTTAAACTGAAATAGGCTGATCAAAAGTTTAGGACCACATATCTTTAAAAGGCCAAATCTGTGCAGAAATGCGGATTCATTGTCTTTTTCTGTCAGGTGGTCACACTGTCATGACCTTCTGACGTCAAAGGCAAAAAAAACTTTTCCCAATTTGAACGTGGTTGGGTTGTTGAACTGCACAAGTATGGTCTCTCGCAGCACACCATCACTGCTGAGGTGGGGCACAATAAGACAGTCATTTGGAATTTCTTAAATGATCCTAAGGATTGTGGAACAAAAAAGTCAAGTGGAAGACCCCAACGATACTGACATGACAAGCAGATGCCACCTGAGATGTTCTCTACGCGCCACAGTGGAGGGGACGTCATAATGGTCTCGGGTGCTTTTTCCTTTGGTGGAACAATGGCGCTTCAGGAGGTGCAGGGGCGTCAAACGGCTGCTGGCTATGTCCAGATGTTGCAGAGACCATCACTCATGATTGAGAGCCCTCGTCTGTGTGTTAACGACTATGTTTTTCAACAGGACAATGCTGCAGTACGCAATGCCCGCAGGACAAGGAACTTCTTCAAGGAGAATAACATCACTCTTTTGGACCATCCTGCATGTTCCCCTAATCTAAATCCAATTACAAATTTGGGGGATGGATGGCAAAGGATTTTTTTTAAAAATGGACAACAGCTCCAAACAGTAGATGCCCTTTGTGCAGCCGTCTTCACCACTTGGAGAAATCTTCCCACTTACCTTCTGAAAATGTTTGCCCCAACTAATTTTTGAAGTGATCAACAATACGGATCAACAACGGTGGAGCTACTTTGAGTTCATGTTTGGAACTTTGATTGACTCCTCGCTGACAAGACTGGCTACAGATACCGACTACAGAATGAAGCAATTGTCAGCGACCTCATTTACATAGATGTAGCTGTTCACCAAGAGCGAATGAGACATTGATTCACTGACCCACATCACCAGGATGTACAACAGCGACATTGGAATGTCGTTCGGACTGGAGAAATATAGTTGGATGATAACAAGGAGAGGGAAGGTAGTCAGAACTGAGGGGATCAAACTACCAGAAGGCAACATTGCAGACATTAAGGACAGCTACAAGCACCTTCAAATCTCACAGGAAAATGGGAACCATGAAGAGGCCACTAAGAAAGCTGCAACCACCAAGTACCTGCAGAGGGTCAGGCAAGTCCTGAGGAGTCAACTGAACAGTAAGAACAAGATCCGGGCCATCAACACCTACGCCCTGCCTGTAATCAGGTACCTTGCTGGGACAATAAGCTGGCCACAGGAGGAGATAGAAGTCACTGACGTCAAGAGCAGGCAGTTCCTGACCATGCACGGAGGGTTTCACCACAAGTCCAGCACCCTGAAACTGTGTGCTATACGGAAGAAAGGAACCTGGGGACTAGTGAGTGTCAGTACAACATTCCATATTGAGACAACATATGTCCACCAGTACATCAGGAAGATGATCATGATCAACCGCGTGATCAGTGAATACCTCAGGCAGCACAAACCCAAGAAGGAGGACTAACCATCATGGAAGGACAGGCCCCTGTACAGTATGTAGCACCGGCAGATAAAGGAAGTGGCTGACATTCAGAAATCCTACCAGTGACTGGACAAAACTGGACTGAAAGACAGCATAGAGGCACTAATCATGGCAGCAGAAGAACAAGCTCTGAGCACAAGATCCATAGAGGCTGGGGTCTATCACACCGGGTAAGACCCGACGTGTAGGATGTGTAAAGGTGCCCCTGAGTCCAGCACATAACAGCAGGGTGCAAGATGCTAGCAGGCAGGGCATACATGGAACACTATAACCAAGTGACTAGCCCTATTTGACAACTGTTAGAATTCCTATTATGGCAAGAACCAATCAGCTAAGAAAAGAGAAATGACAATCCATCATTACTTATGGACTAAAGGTTAGTCAGTCTGGAAAATTGCTAAAACTTTGAATGTATCCCAGTGTATCCCAAGTGCAGTGGCAAAAACCATCAAGCGCTATGAAAAAAAACTGTCTCACATGAGAAAAGGAAGCCCAAGAGTCACCTCTGCTGCTCAGGATAAATTAATCTGAGTCACCAGCCTCAGAAATTCCAAGTTAACAGCACCTCAGACTGGAGCCCAGCTAAATGCCCCATAGAGTTCCAGCAGAGAGTCAGTCTCTACATCAACTATTCAGAGGAGACTGCATGAATCAGGCCTTTATGGTCAAATAGCTGCTAAGAAACCACCACTCAGGAACAGCAACAAGCAGACACACTGAACCAGTATGGAGTTAGTTGGACCATCATTTATTTTTCAAAAGAAAAACGACTCAAAACACACCTCCAGGCTGTATGAGAGCTATTTGACCAAGAAGGAGATTGATGAAGTGCCACACAAGATGGCCACAGTCACCTGACCTGAACCCAGTTAGATGTTTTAGAATGAAAAGGCACAAGGGCCAACAAGTGTCTCTCTGGGGCACACCTTCAGTACTGTTGGAAAACTGTTTCAGGTGACTTCCTCATGAAGTTCATTGAGAGAATGTAAAGTGTGCAAAGTAAAGGGTAGCTATTTTAAAGAATCAAAAATATAAAACATGTTTTGAGTTGTTTCACTCTTTTTTGTTTACTACATGATTCCATATGTGTTCATTCATAGTTTTGATACCTTCAGTGAGAATCTACAATGTAAATAGTCATGAAAGTAAAGACTGCCACCCAGTCCTCCTCCACTACTTCTCCTGAATCCACAGCTTCACCTCTCACATGTTGGAGCTCCAAAAACCCTTCCCTGCCACCACAGCTGTATAAGTACCACACCATGTACTATATAAGGTGCACCTGTGTACCTGGCTACATCATCAGCTACACCCCTACCAACTTTATTAGACATGTTATTAGGCACAGTACAATTGTAGCCTAATATGCTGGCTACTTTGAGATTTGTTTTAGCTAACTAAGCAGCAAACCCCAGATCAAGTACAGTACCTTTTTTGTTAAAGCATATAGTTACGGCTGTATCAGGTGACCCTGAATCCTCCCTTAGTTTTGCTGCATTAGGCTTAGGCTGCTGGGGAATTCCCATGATGCATTGATTTCTTCTTCAGTCACCTTTGTCACTCATTATGTGTTAATAGGCCTCTCTGAATTGACTCATACTTGTTATTAATCTCTTTCTTTCTTTCACAGCATGTCTTTTTTTCTGTCTTCTTACCCTCACCCCAATTAGTCTCAGTAGATGGTCACCGCTCCCTGAGCCTGGTTCCGCTGGAGGTTTCTTCCTGTTAAAAGGGAGTTTTTCCTTCCCACTCATGACAAAGCGCTTGCTCAGAGGGTCATATGATTGTTGCCATTTTCTCTGTTGTATTATTGTAGGATCTATCTTACAATATAAAGCAACTTGAGGCGACTGTTGGATAATTAAAATTGAATTGAATTTTATTAAGGCAGTAGCAACAATCCCACCACAATTTTTACAGAAATTATATAATCTAATTCATGTTCATTTTGTTTCACATATTTTTCTGTTTTCTGACAGACACTGCAGCTATCTTGCGGTCTCGGGAGTCTCTTTGGCCTGGTATTTATGAGGTGGAATTTTTGGTGAAGGATCAGCAGGGGCACATGTGTCAAGATCCACAGAAAGTCAAGGTTGAAGTTTGCACCTGTGAGGATGGAATCATGTGTGGAAAAAAAGGCGCCAAGGGTCAGCCAAGCAAACAAGCGAAGTTGGGACCTGCAGGCATTGGGCTGTTACTCCTGGGCCTATTACTCTTGTTGTGTAAGTGTTAATTCATCCTAATTGCCATAATGTATTGGTTTTAATTTTGGATAATTAAGAGAAGAGGGAAACCACCTTAAAGTTTTTTAAATAAACAGCTGCTGCTGACAGATGTAAGACTGATACATTTATTGTTACTTTATTGTGTATATAAATTATAGCTTCTTCCTTGAAGGATTACTGCACCCTCATACCTTACATTTAAGGTTAATTAAAACTTGGTTTTACAGTGATTCCGTTGTTGCTACTCTTCTGCAAATGTGGAGGTGCTGCAACCTTCCCAGACCTCTTTACTGAGATGCCATTTGATACAAAGTCACATCTCATCAACTACCATACTGAACGTCAGGGAGAGAACACGGTGAGAATTGTATTTTCTTCACTGCACTGAAGAATATTGGCTAATGTGGTGATGCCTACATGAAAGTTGTGTCAAAGTGATTTTTAACTTTGTACTAACATGTACATTTTTGGCGCAATTATAGGACGTGCCACTACTGAACTTGCCAACACAACTGGACGGAGATGTCTTAAATGTAGCCATGGCTCAAAAACCTGTAGCAATGGATGCGTTGGGCAGTTTTGATTTCGCACAATCTGTTGGATCCATTAATAGGCTGAACGGGGCTAACTACCAAGGTAGTTACAGAAAAGAAATTTGGGGCATGAACCAACAGGATCCAAGTGGTTTCTACTCTGAGACTGAGACAAGAGAATCGTTGGGAGGTGTAGGACTTTATGATGGGATGGCTCTGCCAGACCACTTTTTGAGGCAATATTACGATCAGGTAAGAAATCTCATGAGTTGGAAAGGTTCAGTAGCTAATGAAAAGCAAAGCAGAGATTTGAATTAATTATAGGGACGTGTTTTGATTAGCCCTTAAGGCTGAAAACGTATTTAGTTGTTCATAAAAATTCCTTGCACGTACCAAGAGTTGACATGAAAAATACTATCTGAATAATGGTGTCCTTTTTACTTCAACAGAAAGTCACTGATGGAAATGATAACCTTGGCGTGAAAGATGGTTTGTTGGTGTATGATTATGAGGGCCAAGGGTCCTCTGCTGGCTCAGTAGGCTGCTGTAGCCTTTTGGAGTCAGACAATGATCTTCAGTTTCTTGATAACCTTGGACCAAAGTTCAAGACTCTTGCGGAGGTGTGCAGAGGCGAGAAAATTTCTTATGATGACAAACAAGTGCCACCTCCTGTGTCTAATGTCTATAACAATCCTCCAGCCTCAGTTTCAAGTTCAGTGAGTGTACAAAAACTGTCCCCTCCACCCAAACTGGAGCCAACCATGCCCAAAGTGGAGCAGAGTATGGTCGTGAAGACAACCAAGCATTCTGAAATGGCAAAGGAAAGTACAACTGCAGTGAGGGAAGGGATGAATACAATGACAAGAGGGTTGGCAAATCAAGGCCAGATGGTCCTAATACAGCAACAGCAGCCTGTCTACTACACAACCACTCCTGTGTTGCAGCCAATGCATTACGTAGTCCAACCACAGGTTCAGAACACTATGATCCTGGCTGAAGCACCAACCACCAACCTTCAAGGCCTGATACTGGTTAACAACACGCAATCTGGACCTGCCCAAGGAGTATTTGTTCAGGGAAACACTCTCTTGTCCAGTGGACAAGCCCAGGAGCCCACCATGGTGCTGGTGGATAACAGTGGTGCCCAGCGGAGTCATGCAAACTTGATCCAAGCTACAAACTTGTCTGGCTCTCAGACCATGAAGGTTGTAGAGGGTAAGGTCCCTGCAGGGTCAATGAAAGTGCGGAAGGGGAATCAGGCTTCCTATGTTGAGGGAGGTCCTCTACAACCAGGAGACCTTCCTGGATCTCAAAAAATCCTAATGGTCAGAGAGAACTTTGTTCAAGATGCAAATGGTCTGCCAAAGAAGGCTGAGGTCTTTGGCTCTGAAAGAATTCTCTACAAGGACAGCCAATCCACTGGCTCTATGACCAGTAAGTTTGGGTCCTCTACTGTTACAGTATCCGCTGGCCCTGTATCCCACAAAGTACAGGAGAAATTCACTTAACTGAGAAAGGCAAAAGTGCAAACTTTTGGCAAAGATATGTTCCAGGTCTATTCTTATGACTTCACTATGTGCATATGAGGTTACGGGTGGGAGCTGTGCTGCTTAATTTTCTTGTATGCTACATGGAAACATGCAAAAGATCTTTGTAATGGTTTAAATGTTTAATAGTACAGATAGTAAATGAAATGTTCATTGCAAATTGTTTAATACAGTATTCAACACATTACAATAAATACTAGTAAGGTCTTTTCACTTTTCTTTTCACTTTATAAACCACTACTATTTCCTTGTGTCCTGTCTTTTTTCTGGTCTCTTCTCTTTCCCCTCATTATCAACTGGTCTCAGCAAACGACTGCCCCAGTTTGAGCCTGGTTCTCCCAGAAGTTTCTTCCTGTTAAATGGGACGGGATTTTTTTTCCTGTTGTTGAATGCACTTGCTGTAGGGGTCATGACTGCTGGTGTTTCTAGTGTAGGGGCTTTACCTTACAATATCAAGTGCCTTGAGACACTGGTTGTTGTGAATTGGCTCTAAATAAATAAAATTGAATTAATGGCTACAAATATATAACTTTGTTATAACCATTATTTTAACTTGTTTGTTTTCTTTCTAATATGGAAACTTTATGATGCGTGTGTATGTTAACTGGACTATCTGAACGTGAGAGAGTGACTGATGGGACTACTTCCAGCTTAAAGATAGCTGGCTCCTTACTAACACTGTGCAACTAAAGCCTCCAAAGTAGTCCTGCTGTGGTATAGGGAAAATCCTATTTTGCTCTCCTTCATACCAGCTTCAACTGGTTTGGCTTTACCTGTAGCTTTTGTTGTCTTGAGTGGGCTGATTTTGCTCTGTTTGCTAGATGTGGAGGCACAGGGGAATTCATAAGATTTATATTCCTAAGATAGGAAGCAATTAGAAGTAAATGTTGGATAACATGGGGACCCTGTTTTGTGTTGCATGTTCACACACTTTCAACTCAGTAATTCATTGACATTTTTCAGTTGTTTGAATGTTGTATTAGGGTTTCATTCATTTCCTTTTGAATGTATAATTTTTAATGGTTAGAAATTGTAAAAACTCAATCCATTTATTACCATATATTTGAACACTCATGTGGTGGCCTAATATCAATGGTAAAGCATGTATTGGGGAAAAACATTTATGCTTAAGATAATAAAATCTTTGGTATGGAGCACTTAAAGGTCTGCAAGTGTTTTATGTTCACTTTTCTCTGTGTGTCAGTTCCACGTTTTTCTACCATGAACTCAAATTTGGAATATAGTGAGTTCATTTTTGTTATTTAATTATTTAAAATCTATTTTTTTTTTAAATATTGGTAAATTGACTGGTTCATAGCACTTTTCATAACACTCAAAGAATATCATAGAGTGATACTACGCTTTCTTTTGGTAAAATAAATTGAAAAGGCTTCATACAAGCACTGATAAATAAACACAATAATAACAGCTCATTTACACGTATTGCCCAGATGCAATCTTTGTCTACACAGGGAATAAACTCTCAACATCATGTAGACACCAGACTGATAATGCAATGCATCAAGACCTTGAATCCAGCTAGTTTGTTTGTTTTTTCCCCTGTCTTTGTACAAGGACGTTACAAACCAATAGTATGCTGAGGTTCGAGGAGTTGAATCACAAATTTTCCATTACATTTCCATCCTTTCAATCATTTTTTATCACTTTTATAGTATAATATTTGGATGCAAAATATAGGAGTACTGATAAAATTAAGCTTCCAAAAATGCCAGCTCTTTCACACCAGGGATTAAGATTAATTTGTTCATTCATGAGAGACGTGACCAGTTAAGAAAGCCATTTGGTGCTTTATCAAAATCCATCATTTGTGTAGTAGTTATCACAAAGGAGATTACAGCTGGAATTGTAATATTTATTGTGGAAATGAGGATCAGGTTTGTCATGTATCAGGTACCAGAGTCACTATAACTCTAGCTGCCATACAGATTCTGCACAAGTAATTTGTTACTGAATTGGTTGTGAAATTCGATTACTGTAGCCACAAGTTATTTTTGATAAAATCAGGACTAGTGAAGGGTAGTTGAAACTCTCAGCAAAGGAGTGCCTTGAGTGACTGATACACGCTGTTTGTGATGTTTGGTGAGTCATTTCAATGTTTATCATGTGTAAAAATGATTAGAAAAGTCACACCAATAATTTAAGTAAAAACAAAAAACAAAACAAAAACTCTTTAAACAGGTGTGTGTGTTCCATTGCTGATACCCCATTGGTGACAAGGAGTCTCACTCTGCACATAACTTAGTTGGAGCTGGACGTGCTCTTGTTGATGAAGGGCACTTTTTAACCCTTTTACTTTGCATTCCAATGAAGCTGTAGGTGGAAAGCGAAGAGCACATCGCACACCCTTGTTGTTTCAGACTTGACACTAAGACAAAAGTAAACAAATACAGAGACAGAGACCAGAAACAAACAAGGAGACAAAACTGACAAAAATAAAGGAATGCAGGGAGGACACAGAGAGACTAAACATGAGAAGGAGAACTGACAAAATTAAACAAGGAACTAAGAACTAGAAATGATTATCTATAGTCTGATTTCTCAGACTTTTTAGACTTTTTTTTAGTGCTCAGCACAGATAAAAGAATTATTGCACGTGATTTTAACATCCATCTACATACATATAGAGGCGAGCCTCCAAAACCTTATCACATGGTTGATTATGTCTGGTTATGTGTCTGCATACTTATCTTCAGTGTGTGGCTTTTATTCAAACTGTGAAGCACTTTGTATCCCAGTGATCTGAAAAGTGCTATACAAATAAATTTATCATCAATATAAGTATTTTATTTTTTGAAACATGTCAACAATCACCAAGCAATGCTTTTTACCTGCACATGGTATTAGTTCAATGAAATACATTTGTGGTTCATCAAGTAACTTTTCTTTGAGTTTTCCGTAGAGTTTTAATACTTGTGCCTGTATTGTTAGTTTCACAAACCTTACTAGCTTTGGGAAACTTTTGAGAGTAAATTTGGAATCCTGACCTCTTTTCCTCTATGGAGCCGCACTTGTATTTAAGACAGTATTTAAGACCAGCACTGACTACTACTCTTCGCCAGATCGTCTGCTACCCAGCATCAGTTCTCGGCTTACTCATGTTTTGGAGTAGCTTTTGTATTGTTACTATGTCATCTCCAGTCAGTCCCACAGATCCCCCTCACCTGGTCACTAGTCTTCTCTCAAATACCTACATCACATCAGCTCCAGCACAGACTCCATTTTCACTCTCACCTGCCTGCCTCTCTGCCAACTCACCTGGACTTCTGGAATGGGATCACCTCCAACTCACCCGGACCTGCTCAGTCTTGCCTTTCCCTCTTCACACACCTCCACCTGCAAACAAGTAAGCTGCAAGAAAAACTCACTGGAACAATTTCAGCAAAACGTCAGTTTGGCATCGCTGTGACTCTCCTTTCCTCTGTTGCAAAGTTTCTGATCTCCGGCTTGTCATTCTCATTGCCACGTCAGCGCCATGTACTGACTCCTGGAGCCCTGTAACATAATCATGTTCATGATGTCCAAGTTTATAAAATTATCTCTTGACATTTCCCTCAAGTTCATGTAACCCGTGTTTCGTAGCCATAGATCATAGCTCACACTCATGTGTATAGCTTGCTCCTGGTCACATTGTTTTAGTGCTCAGGTTCCACACCGATTGTTGCCTGCACTGTTGTATATAGCTCTTTCACTCATGCTCCTGTAAACGCTCCCTGCACCTTTCACTCATGTTCAATTGTTTAATGTCAAGTTTCACGTCATTGTAAATAAAAATTATTCACATCACTTTCACTCAGCCTGTCGACCACAACGGCCGTGACACAGTATTCACTCCCTGTCAGTTCAGCCTCATAGAAGATCGCCATTGTGAGATAAGACGACAGATAAGATAACTCTTTATTGTCATACCTAATACAATAGCGCAACGAAATTGGAAACTGTCTGCACTAAGCACAACTAAACACTGCACAGTAACGTTAAAGCGGATTTTTTTTAAGTGCAAGAAAGGTATGAGCAAAAAAGAAAGGAATTACTTAATAAAATAAATAAATAAGAAAAAAAAAAAGTCCAGGTAGGCAATCAGGTCAGCTGTTACCATTGCTTAGGGCTATTGCCCTGTTGTAAAAGCTGTCCTTGAGTCTGTTTGTCTGCAACCTCAGCAACCTGAACCTCCTGCCAAACGGTAGCAGTTTAAACACCCGGTGTCCTGGGTGTGTGCAGTCCCGTAGGATGGTGCGTGCCCTCCTGAGACAGCGAGTGCTGTACAGGTCCTTCAGGGAGGGAAGAGGATGTCCAATGATTTTTTAGGCCATATTAATGACCCTCTGAAGTGTCTTTTTGTGTGCCGTGATGCAGCTGGAGAACCACACAGAGATGCAGTCAGCACACTTTCAATGGAGCAACAGTAGAAGACAATCAGCAGCTCTTTCTGCAGGTCCATTTTTCTGAGGATCCTCAGAAAATTGAGGCGCTGTTGGGCCTTCTTTGCAACCGCTGAGTTGTTTGAGCTCCACCGGAGGTCTGTGTCTATGTGCACACCCAGGAACTTGAAGCTGGACACCCTTTCCACGCACTCCCTGTTGATATTCATGGGCTGCAGCTCAGACTTCTTCCTTTTGAAGTCGACTAACAGCTCTTTTGTCTTGGTGGTCTTGAGGTCCAAGTTGTTGTCCGCACACCAATCTGGTAGCCTATGAAGCTCAGCTCTGTATGCTGTCTGGTCTCCCCCAGAGATACAGTGGTATCATCTGCCAACTTAATGACTGCATTGTCTGTGTGGGTACTGACAGAGTCAGTTGTGTACAGAGTGTACAGTAGAGGACTTAGTACACAGATTTGTGGAGAGCCAGTGTTAAGGCTGAGGGCTGAGGAAAGATGAAGACCCACTCGAACTCTTTGTACACGGTCAGAGAGAAAGTATCTGATCCAGCAGCCGGTGGTAGAAGGAAGTCCGATATCCAGCAGTTTTACTATTAGTCTGTCTGGGAGTATTGTACTAAAAGCAGAGGTAAAGTCAACAGAGAGCAGCCTGGCGTAACACCCCTGTTGTTCCTGGTAGGAGATGGTGGAGCGTTGTAGCAATGGCGTCTTCAGTTGATCTGTTAGCTTTGTATGCGAACTGGAGCAGGTCGAGTGCGGATGGCAGGCAGGACATGATGTGGCATCAGACCAGTTTCTCAAAACACTTCAGTATAACAGGTGTGTGAGAGCAACTGGTTGGTAGTCGTTGACAAGTCGTTGGCTGACAAGTCATGATGGAGAATGCTGAAGGTCTGTGGTTTCTATTTAGACATTCATACGCATGCATCTCAACTACCCCAAGCTCATGAAGAACACTGTGGCACCATATGCAGTGTTCAGTTCACAGTTAAAAAAATGTGTTGGGCCTCGTCCCAGAGTGAGGCTATGTGATTCCTTATTGCTTGATGTAGGCACTCCGTTTGTAACTTTTCCTCACCCATTAGTCCTTCTCCATACACCTGTAGCTCCATTTGAAGTTTGGTAGATTTTTTTTTTTTGTGTATCTTCTTGTATCTTCTAGTTGGGGCTCTGCTCATGACAGATCTTAAATTGTGAGAGGACATCGGTCTTTGTTACAGCCTTGGTCTTGATAGTTGTTTGTTCTATATAGCATAAATCACAAAGAAATGAAGAGTCTCTCTTTTGCTTTTTGTAAAATTGTCAACACAATATGTCAAATTGGATTCATGTTAGTGAAAACAGTTCCAGTAAACAACAGTAGTGAGTTTCATATGCAAGAGGGTTAGGGCCACTGGGGAACAAAAGCGGGGACAGCACTATACCCTCCTTTTAACACTACACTGGAGGACAAGAGATGGTTACGGGAGCACTGACAGCAGAAGGGTCTTCTTCAAACTGGAGATGGCCAGAAAGCTGCAGAAGAAATGTGAGCCAACATCAGACCCCTAAACTGTTTTGACCAAACGCCTTAGTGTCCTGTTTAGGACACATAATAAAAAACATTTACTGTCTGGGTGTGGTGCCCTCTGTAAAATTGTCAACAATGTGATGTTTTCATGGATGCAGTAAATAAAAATAGACATACTAGCGCAGAACCAAAAAGAGATATTAAGAATTTGTATTTTGAACTTCTATAAAATATAATAAAAAAATGAAA